CCCGGTAGCGGACGGCCGACGTGGCCCGACGGGCCGTCGGGCCCCGACGGCCGGCCGGGGGCCGAGGCCTCGAGGTCTCTCGAGGAGGCGGGGGGGAAATCGAATGCGGTGACCGAGGCTGCCGTGACCGCGGCCATCGCAGCGAGGAGTGCGGCCTCGGTCTGGGCCGTCGCCGCTACAGGTCAGGCCTCTCGGCGCAGTCGCAGCAGGGATTCAAGGTTCGCTCGGCGTGGGAAGCGATGTCTAGAGCCGTGGCATCAGAGCGCTGCAGCGAGCTGGCAAGATCGATCGAGAGGTCGTCGTCGAGCTAGCCAACGCTGACGAGCCTCTGTTTTGTCCAGACGAGGGAGGGAACGACACGGGCTCAAGAGGTGGTCGAGGTCAGTTGAACGGCCCCAAGAACGGTAAGATTGGGTGGTGTGGCCAAGGTTGGAGCTTGAGCGGATGCACGAGGACATCATAGCCGGCTCAGATCAAGAGCAGGGGCGGGGTGCCAACGGAAGGACATCTCGTCGCTTCGTCGAGCAGAATAACCCCGTCGCAACCGCCGTTGAGCGCAAAGACAAGCTCGAACTCACGCTGTACCGAGGTGACGTCCGAGGCAAGGCTGTCGGAAGAGAGGCGCCGAGTGAGATGGCGGCTGCGCTTCGTGAACGAGGATATGCCGGTCTCTGAGGCGGTAGTCGACGGCGCGGAAGTCCGGGGCCAGAACGTTGAATGCCTAAGAAGGATGGAGCGGGGTATACGCTTGGATCTCGACGAAGCAGAGCTTGGGGATAAACAGGGGAGATGTATCTCGGAGCTGTAGCCAATGCCGCGCGGCTGAGTTTGGAGCAGAGAAGTAGACGGGCGAGATGAGATCCGTCAGCGAGCGGACGGGGGAAGGGGGAAGAGACCCGGACGCAGGTGGGGATGTGACGTCGAGACGCCCAAGTGGTTGCGAGCGAAGGCAGCACTCGCTGCGAATCCCGCCGTGATGCACACCTTGTCGAAAGCTGCCAGCAAGACCTGCGGCTCAGACGTTGTTGTCCGGCGAAGGGCAGTCCGACAAAGGGTGGCGGCGGCGGCGGCGGCGGCGGCGGCGGCGGCGGCGGCTTTGTACGTCGGGCGGCGTTGCTTCGAAGGCGTGCGATGGTGCGGGCGGGTTATCGACAGTTGGTGGTATCGGGCCAGGGGGAAGGTGACGGAGCAAGCGTCACGCTCCGCGGCTTGATATGCGAGGCGATGGTGGTGGCGTGTCGGGTCGATGCAGGGCGAGCCGGGGGGTCAGAGATGGTGGCGATGGCGATGGCGATGGCGACGGCGGTCGGCGGTCGGCGGGACCGATGCTAAAGGAGGTGGTGGTGGTGGTGGTGGTGGTGGTGGTGGCGGTAGCTGCCGAGACCTGTCGTCGAGACAAGCTGGGCAGGGGAGGGCAGTCCGAGTGTGGAGAGGTCAGAGGCGAGGTTGAGGGATCGAGGGAGAGGCAGAGGGAGCGGAGGAAACGAGGGTCATGGGGAGGGGATCATGGGCTGGCGGGCGGGTCGCCGACTCAGAGAGGCAGATCAGAGCGACAGAGCAGCGCAGCATCGGCAGGCGCCGCCCGCTCGCTCGGCGTGCCCGAGCCCACCGCCGCCGCCGCCGCCGCCGCCTACCTACAGGCAACCTTTAGCCGGGTGCAGCCAGCAAGCAAGCGGGCGGCACCATGCTGGCCTGCCCTGGCCTGGCCATGCCCACAACCAGGAAATTTCGCGGGCGGCGGCTTAACCTGGTCTGGCCTCGAGCAGTCGCCGCTGGGCAACCACCGGCCGTGTCTCCACCTCGCTGCTGGTCTAGCCTGCACTGCCTGCTTCTGGCCTAGCGAAAAGGCAAGCAAGCCGGCAAGCTACAGGTACCTGTACCGATAGCCAAGCTTGGCAAGCAAAGGCGGACGGGCGGACGGGCGGACGGGCGGACGGGCGGGGCGAGGCTAGGCTGGGTCGGTTGGGTGATGCTGGGCGCTCGTTCCGCGCAGCTCATGCGATGGCAGGCACCTCGATGCTGGCAGGCAGGGGCAGCCTCCCTTGGCTTCCCTACTCTGGGCACACCAGCCAGAGGCCGGGTTGCACGCAGGCGGGCGGTCGGACAGCAGACGCTCGCAGAGCAAGCAAGCAAGCAAGCAAGCAAAGCAAAGCCAAGCGAAGCGGCAGCCGACGGGCGGGGCGGGCAGCGGGTGCTGCTCGGCTGGCGCGGCCAAATACACCCCAGAAATCGCATTTCTGGCAAGGGGCAACGCGCGGCTGCTGGGTCGCGAGGCGGAGGGGCCAAGGCCGCACCCCAGGGCCAGGGCCAGGCCAGGCCAGGCCAGGCCAGGCCCGCTTCGCTGACATCGAAACCGGGTGCATGGCAGCGTGGGGGCTATTCCCCCCGCCCTCCGGTGTCGGTCGATACCGGCCTGCCGGGCGCTGCGCTTAGTTTGGGCCTCTGTCGAGCATCGCCAGCAGCTGCCAACGGGCGGCGACGATCCAGTCAGAGTGGTAGTTAGGTGGTCGTACGTCCGTCAGCACACATGTAGTAGGCAGCGCCACAGCCTCTCACGATGGCCACGAGTCGGGTCAAAGGGAAAGAAAGCGTGACAAGCCAGTCGGGCTCGAGGAAGCAGTTGGACGACCACATGCTCCGCCGTTATTGTGGCGTGCTGTTGCTGCTACTCTGCTGCTGCTGCTGCTGTTGCCGCCGCCGCCACCACCACGGCCACCATGCTCTCTGGCGCCATGGTCGAGCATGGCCGAGAAGCTGGAATCGAGAAGCGGCTTCTACGTACGACGCCTGGCGGATGAGACCAGCTGCGCCACGACTACTGCCGCCAAGCGGACGTGAGCCGCGGAACAGGTCCGGGACATGCATCGGCCCCCGTCTCGGACATGGATCCCGACCGAACGCGCGACGACGTGCGGCAGTGCCCTACCCGGCCTTGACAAGCAAGGAGCGCAGCAGACCACCGCCGCAGCACCGCCGACGCCTGCGCACGATGACGATCGACTACACTCTGACTTGGCGGGGCGTCGAAGCCTTGCATGGTATGGTATGGTATCGCACCAGCATCTGACGCTTATGCACGGGAGCGATGGACAAGGGAGCTCGGCGGTCGATGAGCACAACGTAACAGGAACATGCAGTAGATGAGGCAGGCTAGGCTGGTCGGGACGATAGCTAGTCGGCATCGGCCGCGGAAGACCAGGGGTTCCTGGCATGAATGGCACCAGCTTGAGCCAAAACGGTGCGGTAGAGGCAGATTCCAAGAAAAACAGATGCCGGTGGCCAGGGACGAGGCCGCAGCACCAGCACCAGCAGCACCAGCTAATATGTGTGTGAGAGTAAGTTCGTTGGCGCATCCGCCCTTGCGGGTCATCCGAGTAAGCGCGAACGGTCAGCAAGCAAATAAGAGGCTCGACGAGATGAGTGAGCCAGAGGCGTGAGAGTGCATCATATCGGCGCATTGCTTCTTCCCATAACCTACCATCGACCAAGGTTGGTTGCGGCGATGGGGACGGCTACGTCGCGGGATGCCCAGCCGGGTGGCGGAGTGATATCGTCTCGGTGGCAGCCCGGCGACACGTACGATTTGATATCGTCGTGCCGGGACGGCTGGCCCGCCAAGCGGTTCATGCTGCTGCTGGACCCTTGCCGCGGCCGGGATGGCTGACTCTGGCTCGTCGAGGGCGATGGATGCATACGTATGTATGCGATGGTGACTGCGCCGAACGGGGCAGAGGGCGCGAGCGAGCGATTCCGCGCAGGTCGGCGCCATCACCCCGAGCTACACGCCTGTTCGAGCGCCGTAACTTAGTCGGCTTTCGGATCTTCCACCGTCGTCGCCGTCGTCGACAAGCTCGAGAAGGTTTGACCGACGGGCACCACCGTTCGCTGCTTGCTCAGCTCAGGCGGGGGTACTGTATGTACAGGGTCAGGACCCTGCTCCGAAGGACCCCGAAGCGGCAGGAGGTTGGAATTCATGCGTGCAGGCATCGATCGGGAGGAGAGAGCCAAGGGGCGAGGCAGGCTGGCTGGCTCGAAGGAGAAGTGACCACGTACGGTCTCGACGAGTGCACAACGAGCGGGCGGTTGGGGCGATGTACGTCCGGCCTGCCTGCGTTGACCGCCAACCTGAGACATCCAGGGCTTAGACAGCAGCGCCGCCTGCCTGCTGCCTGCTGTGCTTTAGTCTGCCAGCCTACCGTATCTGCTTCAGGGCCAGCGCGAGTGCGCGTGCGCGCGGCAGGCTAGGATGCGTACGCGCGTGTGTGTGTCTCAGCCCGCCAGGTCCAGCATCTGCGACGGTCGGCGCCATGGTCGGCTCGATCCGAACGCGAGCGCGCTGGTCCACGCAGCCTATCGGCAGCAGCAAGGCGCGTTGGCCTGCGGCTACTTTTGCAAGGCGGTGCTCTGCCGATACGGGCACGATGCTGGCGACACGCGCCCGCTCGACGATCGCAGTTCCGGCAGACGAGCAACCGGCGTTACCTGTCCCTCCTCCATACGATGAATGGGTCGAGGACCCGCGGGCAAGCAAGTTACGTGCAACGATGGGAAGCCACCGCGCGCCTTTGCTGAGCCCTGGAAAACTTTGCCGATCCGGGGAGACCCTGGCCTCAAAGGCTGTCGACGACAACCGATCGTAAGCGATGGAAGGGAAGGGCAGACCTTGCCAAATGCCGGGCACGCCGCAGG